AGGGTAAGCTAAGAAAACAAGAGGAGGAATCAGTTGTTGTGGAGTTCTCCGAGCTGGGCAACTTGGTTGCAGACGTTTCGCCACCATTCGAGGTGGCATCTTCAGTGCGGGATTGATAGCAGTGAAGTAGCAACAGCTGGTAGAAAGCAAACAAGCAAGATGCCACCTCGAATGGTGGCGAAACGTTTGCAACCAAGTTGCCCAGCTCGGAGAACTCCAAAACAACTGAGCAAGCCTCCCGAGCTACCAATATTCCAATTCATTTCGAAGCGTAGGAATGACAGCTAAATAATGATAATACCAAGGTGAGAAGAAAATTAAAAAAGAACGAAGGGAAAGTTGAAGATACAAGTCGGTCAGGAGAAGGGGAAGGTTTGGTACTGCCACCAAGGGCATCTAACTGATGCTCGAAACCCTCTACCGTAGACTCCCTAATCACGTGCGCCAGGAGCGAGTTCCAACGTTCAATAACTCGACGCGACAAGCGAGTTTCCGTCCTTACCCGGTCAGAACGCTGTTTGTGCAGCTTCAACGGGTGACCTCGGAGACTAGGCAGCTTGGCGGGACTAAATAGCCAGGACAAGTTTGGACCGATCTTACCCGTTAAGATACGGTAAGTGAGGATCAGGTCTCCTCTAATTCTGCGGTAGTGCATTGAGTACATATCCAAGCTAAGCAAACGTTCGGGATACGTTTGCCACCGTAATCCTTGCACTGACCTTGTACCCACTCGCAAAATCCTCTCCAGTTCCATTTTGTCCCTTACAAGACAAGGTGGACAAGCCTGGATACAGTACTCGAAGTGAGGTCGCACAAAAGCTGAGAACAGCTTCACAAAAATATTGGCCGTTAGGACACTGAAGGAGCGGCGAATAAAGCACATCATACGAAACCTCTACGAGCAGCCTTCCTCCAATTTTCCCCAGAGTGAAGCAATGAGGTATGGGTGATACCTAGATCAACCTGCAGAATGACAACAGGGAGTTCACTTCCACTAACTACATAGCGCGTAGGAGGACTAGCACCTCCAATGCGCAGGACAGAACATCTCGCCTGATCTATGGGCATCAACCATAAGGTTGATCAATCCCAGAGCCTATCCAACGCACTCTGAAGTGCCTCAGAGTCACCAGGGATATCCACAATATTCCAGAGCTTGAGGTCATCAGCAAACAATAGCGACGGTACTCCAAGCTCCTGGGGTAGGTCATTTACATAAATTGTGAAAAGCAACGGTCCTAGAACCGAGCCCTGCGGAACGCCACTAAGAATAGCTTGTCTAAGCGAAAGGCTATGCTCCACGCGTACACACTGTTCTCTGCCCTCTAGGAAAGCAGAAACCCATTTAAGGGCGGCTCCAGATATCCCATACGATCTCAACTTCAATGAGAGTCGTTGATGTGGGACAGTATCAAAGGCTTTCGAGAAGTCAATGAAAATCACGTCGATGGCGTGACCGTTGTCTATTGTCTCAGCTCAGCTTTCACGAGCATCAAGTAAATTTGTCAGACATGGAAATCCCTTACGGAATCCGTGCTGGACCGCGCTGAGAAGGTTAAACTTAATCAGGTGATTCTCCACCGAATCCGACCAATTTTTCTAACAACTTAACTACTACACTTGTTAAACTGACAGGCCAATAGTTCGTGAGCAGAACTCTGTCCCCGCCCTTAAAAATCGGACAGATGATTGCCTTCTTCCATTCCGAATGTAAGCACAGCTGTCGAGTGATATTGTAAACATGCATGTCAGAGGGCCACTTAGCTCAGCGGCCAATTCATGCGTCAGCTTCGGATGAATTGAATCAGGACCAAAAGCTTTGGAAGGATTTAGCCCCTGCAATAGCCCGAAGACTTGTGTCTCCGTTATGCTGATTTCAGTTAGGCAAGAATCCTCCGGAACTTTCGTGACCAGCTCAACCTGAGGTAGAGAGACCTCATGAGAAAAGACACCAGTATACTATTCGCTAAGTATACAGACATTATCATAGTCGGTATGCCCATGGGTCCTGTCCGCTCGTAGTAAAGCCGGTATAGACGAGTTTGTACCGCTACGTCTCTTTACGTAAGCAAAGAACTTCTTTGGATTTGTTACCGCTGCGTTAGCCAAATCCTCCTCGTACTGAAGACGAAAAGTTCTAAGTTGATGCTTACATTTATTTCTAACCGCTCGATAGCTTTCGTAGGTGCTGGTTGATGAAGCCGCTTGGTAAGTTCGCCAGCACTTAGAGCGCTTCCTGAGCAGGTATTTACCTGTATGATCTATCCATGGAGGCTGCGCCCGTGTCACCCTTCTCTTAGTGAGTGGGATGTGGGGAGCAGAGGTCTCGGTGAGGTATGCCTTAAATTTCTCCCAGGCTGTCTCAACGGTGTCAGACACGGTGATCGCACAACGCAAAACTGAAGCTTTGTCTCGCATTGCGTTAAAGTCTGCCCGCCAAATATTTGGACATGCCTCAGCGGTAGCTTGATGACACTTAGTTAGAGCACATCGAAAGGATATGCAGACATGGTCACTGGCTCCTAGAGGACAGTCGTAGGTAATATCACTTACGAAATCGTGTGACTTCGCAAAAATGAGATCCAAGATAGACGGAATTTGGTTGCATATATATCTAGTCGGGAGATCCACGAACTGATGCAAAGGCAGTTGCAATGTTAGCTCAAGGAGATCCGAACCGAAAGTGCCCACCGCCGAACTGCAAGATACATCAGCCCAGCAGACTTCAGGGAGGTTGAAGTCATCCAGTATTAGACACCTACTGGAAGCATGAGTACGAATAAATTCAATAACCTCCCTGGAGATACTTCCAGGACTTCGATATACCACTACAACTGTAAACTGAGCAGAGAAAGTGCACACAATAGTCGAGAGGGCTTCAACCGTTTGATCCGGCGTCTGGAACACACAGGTCCTCAACACATCGAGTTTACAACTCACATAAAGAGCGACGCCCCCACCTTGGAGGCCAAGGGAGCGATGGCATCTAAGCAGTGCGTAGGCAGGAAAACGTACTTCTTTGTTCCTTAGGCTACGCACATTACTAAACACTACCAGATGGAACTCGGCACGACCAGCCCTGGGTCGTACGCTACCAGGAGAGGTTCTGGTAGGGCAGAATCTGACTTCGGCTGACCACCTGGAAACACGCAAGACGAAGGCGTTGCTCACCAGCTGCCCGCCTGCTCTTGAGGCTTATGATGGCTTCCTTTAACTTCAGTCGATCTGCCAGTAGGAGGTCCGGCTGAACGCTGACATTACTACCCTTGTGTTTGAATGCAAAGCGCATTAACGCTTTGCGTTCCTCCGGGGTTGAGAGGACTACACGAAGTAGTCGGGGTCGCGGATTTGGCGTGTCTACAGGGACGTTCCCCAATCTGGTTAGTTTCCTGACAGTGACACCGGGGAAACCAGGTGGAAGCATCTTGTTGACGTAGAGCTTGAACCACTGGAGGTCATTCAGCATGCGCTCCTTTTGGAAGGGCGGATTCAGCAACGTTACGAAAGACAACGCTACTATCAGTAAAAGAATCACCTCGACGAGGCGTATTCACTACACGCGTCTTCGACGCGACCTCAATTTCAACTGGTTTGGCAGATAACACGGCGCGTTTCTTCGCCAAGTGAGCTGGAATAATTGAGGTTGAGGCTTTATTCTCTGCCTCCAACTCCCTCACCGGTCTAGTCTTTTCAGACTTTGCGGGTGTGGCCGAAGTCGACACGGCGCGTTGCTTCGCCAATGGAACTGGGGTGATTGGAGTTGGAGTTTTGTGTTCCACCTCCAATACCTTAATGCTTTCAGTACCTTCCGGCTTTGAGGCAGCCTTACGGACTTTCTTAGCCCTCTTCCTCTTGCTTTTATTGGGCCCAGGGGCCACAAGTTCGGTCTCGCTTTGGACGGCTTCCAGTACGACATCAGAGGCCCCTTTAGAGGCATTCTGGACCGCTGGGAAACACGACACGGTAGCCATCACCTCAGTCGGATTTTCATCGACAGTAATTGAGGTTAGCTGCGTGTCTTCCTCCAATGAGCCGACATCAATAGAGACTCCCATATTCCTCATCAGTAACTCCACTTTCCGATCAAGAGATGTGAGGAAGGACCGCAACTGCTGGTTACCCAGCCCGACGTTGCTCGATGTCTCCTCATTGACCTCAAGACGCGTAGATCGACGGCGACGGCATAGAAGACAATTGAACAACATGCTATCGCTAGTCGAAAGCATTGCGTACTGATCAGGGCTCAAATCGGTACAGGTCTCATTGTACCAGCAGTTGCATACATAGCACTGCATGCCACCAGACTCGTCCGTCACGGGCTTTGAGCAGCTCCCGCTGCCGCATACAGCATTAGATTCGCTGATGAATGCAGCCGAAGACACATTAGCGCCGGTATTCAGTGAATTCGACATGGCGCTTTCAAAGAGTGTGAAGCAAGTATCAAAACGTAAAACCGACAAGGTGTTACCTTCAGGGCAGTCAACAGAAACAGTTATGGGTCAAATAAGGTGCAAAACGGATTACAAAACACCAAAATACCGGAAAAATAGCCAGAGGCTGAACCCGAAAAAGATGGAGGACGTTGGTAAGTACCCGAAAAAAGGTATGACGTAATTCGGGGAAAACGATGATCCAAAATTCTTGGGATTAAGCGAAATTTGACAAAAGTCAAATTTTTCGCACGACACTTGTAAACACTGTTCCAGAACTGTCCTTTGAAAGTAAAACCTCAAAAAGACAGCACGCTCAAAAATTTCAATTTACAGCCAAGGCGGTGACAGGGGGTCACCATTCAAGTGAGCCCGCCATACAGCAAGCAAATGGCAAATGGCGGGCTCACTTGAACTTAGCAATCAGCAACCAATACAACAAACCACACCGGTCGCGTAGGTGTCCGATAAAATACTTTTGGGTATGGTATTACACTGGCAGACGGGAGTCTCCAGACTGCTGCACAGCCCTCTCCCAGAAGGGACTGTGTAAGCAGTCCTTCGACTTACCTGACGAATGTCCGTCTCGGACCCGCCTTCTGCGAGACAAGGTTGTGAATTCTTATGCAGCTGCTGGGAGTGAACAATTCATTCGGACGCTAGCGGGCTCCTACCCGTGTCCACCTTCGGTGTCGAAACTGAAAAAACTGTTTGTGGGGGACAGTGATTAAAATTCACGTAGGTGCTTGAGCAGGAATTTCATTCCACTTCCAGTGGACGTGCGGGGATCCAGCGGAAAATGAAACCAAGATGCAACCAATCGACGGCGTATATGGAAAGCGAAAGGAGAAAGCAGCGTAAAGGCATTGCAATACACAAAAGAGTGCAAAGCGCACAACATACAAAGCTATATTGGGTTGGTAAAAGGTTGTGCTCTATTTTGGTAGTTTAACAACGTTTGGTAGTTTTTCTGAATTTTGGAGGGCGTTCGGTAAGCGCAAGAAAATTTCAGTGGCATGTTCTGTGTTAAATAACAAATGCAACATAGTCCGAAAAATGAACTAGTGGTTTGAGCTTCCTACCGCGTCGACTGATAGAAGGATGAGTAGGAGTGCTGTCGGTTCAGCTTGTAAGTTCCGCTGGATCTTACTGACTGGTCTGAGGTTGCTGTGCCAGCTGTGATGGCGCAGGCTGTGAAGGTGCTTGTTTCAGTGAAGTGTCAGTCGTGTCAAGGAAAGCTGGCTTGAGTCGATCGACATTGACCGTCTCAGGCTTGCCATTGAAGTCAGTTGTAAAAGTCTTGTCGCTGATCTGCTGAATGCTTGAAAGCGCATCCGGGACGGGACTGAGCGCATCTGAGACACGTCGTACGTCTGACGTAAACTGAGAAATGTAGTCTAGGCATTCAGTTTCCAGCGGAGAATACTTGTGTGTTTCGCCATTGCTTGCGTTAATCAATGGCTTGTGTTCAGTGAAAACTGTAAAACGTCGACCTTTGAGATAGTGACGGAAATGTCTGCTGCTTAGGTGGATAGTCAACAGTTCCCTACCGAAAGTGCTGTAGCGCGATTCGGCAGGTTGCAAACGTTTCGAGGAGAAACCTAGGGGTAGTCGTCGATGGTCGATGAGTTGTTGAAGAACTATGCCGACGGTAGTGTCGGATGCGTCAGTTGTCAGGGAGAGTGTTGCTGACATGCCTGGGTGGGCGAGAAGAGCTATGTTGGAGATAGCGTCCTTGAGCTTCTCAGAAGACAGTCTAGCGTCGCCTGCACAATGAAAAGAGCATTGCTTACCGCTAAGCAAGTCGGTCATTGGTCGAACAATGCTCGTGCAGTTATGAATCCAGCGTTGCTAATAGCTGACCAGGCAAAGGTAACTGACTGAAGAAACTAGGGGCAATATAGTCATTCAGTGCTTGCTTATCATCTGTCAGAGCTTCAATATCAGAAGCGGATATTCGGTGGCCAAGAAAGTCGACGGAGTTTCGGTCAAACTCGCATTTATCGGGGTTGACGGTAACCTTATGTTGCGTCAAGCATTGGAAGAAAGCGTCCAGATGATGAAAATGTTCATCACCAGAGGAGCAGGCGATGTGAAGGTCATCTAGATAATGATAAACGCCTTACAGTCCTCGTATTACCTCATGAATGGACGGCTGAACGTTTAGGCAGCGTTGCTAAGGCCGAACGGCATTCTGATGTACTCCGATAGGCCGAATGGCGTGATGACCGCTGTTTTACTAGTGTCCTCTGACACCATAGGTATCCGATGGCAGGCGCGAACTAGGTCGATTTTGCTAAAGAAAAACTTACCAGCTAGTTCTGAGGATAAGTCGCACGTATGCGAAATGGGGTAGTTATCAGGGACGCTAACTTTGTGAAGTGCTCTGTAGACACCACGGGGCGCTATTCACCGGATTTCTTCGGCACCATGTCTAATGGTGATTCCCATGGACTTTTGGACCAAGAGGAGTACTCCCAGTTCGAGCATTTGCTCGAATTCCGCCTTAGCAGCTTTGAGCTTGTCCGGGGCCAGTTTGCGACGACGAGAAGAAACAGGTAGACCCTTAGTGCAAATGTGATACAGGACGTTTGACGTCACAGGAGGCAAGTCGCTCGGAACGCGAACGAGTTTATAAGGCTTGTTAAAAGAATCTATAAAACGCTGTGAAGCTTGGGGTAGGGCACGAATGGAAGTGATAGCAGTCATGCTGGCGCTAGTCCCGATAACGCTGAGCTGTGTCCTAGCGTCGATAAGCCTTTTCATTTTGGCCTCGACGATAAGGTCGAAGCCTTGAAGGATGTCTATGCCTAGGATGGCAAAAAGAACGGCTGCTACTATGCAAGGCCAGCTAAAGGTTCGTAGGAGGCTTAACTTGATCCTTAGTAGCCTTTCTCCGAGAGTTGCGATTAGTGTGCCATTGGCGGTACGCAGCTTGGTCAGCGAAGATGAGACGACCTCTGAGCTACGGGGTATAACGCTAACCTCGGCTCCTGTGTCGAATAGGAACTCGGAGTCGGAAATTAAATCCCTTATGTGGATGTGGTGACTTTGGCGTTAGCCGGTCGCGTCCGTCGCCGTTACGGGCCGGCCGAGAACTTTCCCTGCTTCTCGGCGAATTTGCAAGTCTTGATACATTTACTAGCCGCAGGAACAATGCGTGGAAGGTATCAAAAGCAAGCCTGTTGTTGGCTGACTTGGAACGTTTGGACTGCGATGTTGATCGGCTATGACGACGGCGGTGCATAGTAAACTGTTGTACCTGGCGACTAAGTGTCGCAACACGTGATTTCGGGGCTTCTATAGTTGTATCTAATTCAGTGATAAAAGTGTCCTTGGACGCGACGGCAGTGGTCTTGCTGGCGCCGGCTTGTGTCTGTGATTGTTCAATGTTTATCCGCTAAAGCTGCTAGTTGCGTGAGCGAAACGGAGCTCATGATAGCAAGAATCGCTTGCGTGTTCTCCGGTAGCAGCTGTAGCCCTAGTTCGCGAAGTAACGTCTCGTCCGTGGTTGAGGATCCAAGGAGTTGTTGCATCTCTCGTAGCGGGGTTGAGGACAATTTGTCGCCAGCTGCAGGTCCCTGAAATGCTGATGCAGGCGGACTTTCTCAGAGGGCATGCCACGCCAAATCGGGGTCTGCTTGAGAGCCTCATAGCGGTTTTACCACAGAGAACTGATAACGTCTCGACCCTGCATTGATATCTGCTTGGGGAGATTGGACATTAGCTTGCTATACATCGCGTAGTCTAAGGTGCTTCTGTAGATATAAAATTAAGCCCCAAGCAGAGCGAACCGCAAACGTGGATCTATGTCCAGACAATGTGGCACAGAGAGAGCTACAAAGCTAAGGCCATATTCTACCTTGGGGGCTACAGATTCCATGGCTTAACAATTATCCAAAAAGTAGTTTACCATATGCAAGAATAAACCGGAAAAAAGGAGAATAAATGGAACGAGCTCACCAGAGAAAATCTCGAAATATCCGGCGCAAAGATTCTTTCTTGGTCGGGGACATCAACTTAGCGAGTAGCTTGTAGCGGAAGCACAGAACGATTCGAAAAGGCAGATCATGCCACACATTCGGCCGACACTCACTCTCCGAAAGTGCTTGCACAACGCCATCGATTTGGGCATTTCAATTAATAGTTACTGCCTGATAACCAACTATCAGCTCCAACCCGAGCAGCTCGAGGCTTGTGCAACTTCCTAGTGGACAACGCATGGGTAGTAATCTCGTGGAAAAAAGGGATAAATATGGCTTAAGCTGACCGGTCAAGACGCATGTATAATTTCCAGTACCGATATATCGGTCACTAGTGGGCATGTTTGCAAAGTGGATTTCGCGCGTACGGATAACGCCCCTCACATGCGCTGTTTCGCTCTTCCTGCAAAATTAACGGAACTCGCTGCCTGGTTCCATTGTCCTCGCCGAATCCGTTCAGTAACAAACAAAGAGCTGAACCGCATTTTAATAGCCTGAAGTTTGACGCAGAAGCCATGTTCGATATTCTACCATCACGTGGGCACATAAGGACTTCGCTAGCAGCCTTGCATTATCAAACCAGTTAACTCTGTACCGTGATTTTGTACTTCTTAATCCGTGTTTTCTGTGTGACGAACTAAACGAACAAGAATGCAAAATAACATACACCAGCTCACTTTGGTAAATTGTGTTTTGTTTTATTTGTGATGGAGACAACATAGCTTCTAATCTTGTTCTCCTACTACCATGATTCGGATTCGGATTGGAGAGGTTCAAGTCCCGACAAAAACAGCGCACTATCGAGTGGGTGGTGTGGAAACAAGCCTATTCTAAACCGTAGTATTCGGTAGCTGACAATTCTTCTACCACCTTTTGCTCCCGAACTAAGCAAAAACTGGCGAAGCTGCAGATTCGTTAACCCATAAAGCTTTAAAAGTGTGAGGGACGCGCTTTGTTTTGAAGGATGCTTTGCAAGCTAACATAAGCCGCGAGACTAGCCAGGATACAGCCTACTGTTAACCTGCCGGATTGTCTTCCGCGAGGCCCGGGTTCGAATCCTGGTTGGGCCGTCTTTGTACTCGCTCCGGCGGTACATATACTAAAATGGGTACGATACAGAGGAGACTGCGATGGCCAATAAGCAAAGATGATGTTCAGAGTTTAAAAGTGTAAAATGGTTATGCGCTTACACTTCTACAGGAAAGCCTCCACTTTTCAAAATCATACTTGCACATTTTTTGTTAGGATTAAACTCTGAGGCAGACATTTGCTTAACATTGCTTACGAGATTTATTTGCGTGCCAGTTTTCTTTCATTTCCTACTCGTAAGCCAGTAGCTAGTAAACACATCGCTTACCTGGCCTTTGTATACTACGGAGTCAGGAACGGAATAATCACTCATTGTTCCGCATCTTCTGGTTTATGTGCTTTAACGGGATGTTAAGTGGGCACTTACGACGCCAAACTGCTCATCCACTTTGCTGTTAAGCAGAAATCCGTAGTAGAACAATCTAGGTTGGATTACCCATGCGCATTCCAAACGTCTTGGGGTAAAAGAATACCATGCTAACTTTGTATTCATATTTTGAGTTCTTTGAGTTCATTGAGTTGTAGAGAGCAGGAGGGAAATCCCATGTCAGCCCCATCGCTTCCGTATCATACTGGGTTTGATGCTTGTCGTTGCACTCTGACGTTCCTCGAGGGTTCGTCGCAGTTGCAGTGACAGTCGCAAGATTCCAGCGTTCTCAGCGAACGTTTGTCTATCAACCGCTTGAAACTTTCCTCGGATGGAGCGCCTGCAATTTCTTCCGGTAGGCTGTTCCAATCATTCACCACTAGTGGATAGGGTGACGTCCAT